GGCCCCACAGGACTCATGGACAATACACAGGATTAGGGGGATTTATTAGGAAAGTTAACAGGTTTTCACAGAAACTTTAAGGATATAACCTTTGCTCCACATCAATGCCTCATCCCAGCCATCAGCCAAGTCTCTCTCTGGTTTAACGCACCACTCACCTCCCACGCCCACTGTGCGCCAAGAAGCCTGCCTGCTGGCAAGCCTCACAGTGGCATGGTCTCAGTGGCATGGCTTTTCTCCTTTCTCTTTGGGTGGCTCTTCTGCTCTGTCCCATGGTCTCTGTGCTGCAGGCTCTGGACAGATAGGGATCTCACACTTACTTCTCTGGCAGCTGTTTGCTTTCTTGATCTTCTTGGCCTTCTCTCTATTCCTGCTGCTGAATGGCTTTCAAATGTTCGGAGGAAGTGGAGGAGGGGGCGGGGAGGGACAAAAAGAAAGAAAGAAAAAAGGGTGGCCTTTAATGAAATGGATTGGCACAGTGGCTGCAACACTGGGCTCAAGCATACCAGGGATTGTCAGGATGGCACAGGCCCGGGCAGTGCCTCCCTGTGTTGTACATGGGGTCCCTATGAATTTGACCGACTCAACTGCACCTAACAACAAGAGCACCTTATTTGCTTGGTCCCACTCAGTCATTTGGTGGAAAGTAACAATTAGATGGGTAGAAGGGTCATATTTAAGTTATTTCACCTCACCTCCAGGAACAGACAACCGATAACTTTCTTCTGTAGAGTGATTGGTGGACTTCAATTGCCAACTTTGTGGTTAGTAGCCCCCTGCCTAAGCCACGGTGTCTAAGGGACCCTTGGGTTATATAAAAGTAAAAACCCAAACTCACTGCCACGAGTCATTGCTGACCCCTGTGGGTTTCCAAGACTATAGCTGTTTATGGGAGTAGAAAGCCCAATCTTTTCCCCACGCACCTGCTGGTGGTTTGAAACTGCAAACCATGCAGACCACAGACCAATGCGTAACCACTACACCATCAGGGCTTTTTCGTTTATATAAAGACGTCTTTTATAGCCAGGCCTTCATGAGACGTGAGGTAGCCTCCTGACTCATTTCTGATTCATGCATAACCTGGAGCATCACTGAAGCCTCCCCTAAACCTCGGGGTGAGCCGCTCTGCTTCAGGCCGCTGAATAAGTTCATGAAAAGCATTTCAATGTATACAAGTGAACATATTGAGACCCCGCCAGAAAAATCAGATTATTCCATTTCAGAATTGTATAAAGGGTAAGGATGGGAGGGTAGCTCTGCAAAGTTACGGAACTGGTACATAGGAAAGCTAGTCTCAGGCTCTAGGTATTTCCAATGTAGGCCACCGTGCTTTCTGAAGTGGCCGGATGCATTGTCGGGACTTAAGCCAGTTAATTAAGAATGGTACAACATGCATATTGCAGACATGGGACAAATGTTACCTGCATGGCATTCCTATTCTCTAGTGAGCAAATAGGGCTCAAATTGTGCCCAAAGTCACTGAGCTGCTTATCACACCCTGTCATGGTCAGAGCTATGAGGCAAACACATTTTTCTCATCCTGGATTCCCTGTGCTTTGAGCTCTTATCTGTACCTGTGATGTGCTCTGATCTGGAATAGCTTAAGGGTCTGACGTAGCAGCTCTTCAGCTCTGTGGGGAGAGTGAGGTGGAGAAAGGGTATACGGATTCTCACTGCTACCGAGTCTACTCTGCACCCAGGATGAAATTCCATGAAAGGCATGACATTCTGGGGAAGATGAGGATCCGAGAAGCAGCCGGAAGGAAGGTTCAGACTGTAAGACGTGTTGGGTATTTCCTCACCCAGTGTGTTCCTTCCTAGGCAAGGCCCAGGACTCAGTCTATACTTCTATACTTCTGTATCCAGTCTGTTAGTTGAGCACCTGGGTCCTTCTGCCATACAGAGAGTTGACGCGGGCCTTGAACTCTAGTTTCCAGTGTGCATTAAGCACTCTTCTGGGCTTAATGCCCAGTGGGCAGAGCCCATGGAGTCTATCCTCAAGTGTTCACAGGCAAGTGGGAGGAGCAGAAGGAAGAAAGGGAGGGAGAAAGGAGGAAGGACGGGGGCAAGGGAGAAGAAGGGAGGCAGGGATTGGGGAAGACAGGGGACAGCCATCAAGTGGATGGTGGTAAAGTACCCAGGGATGTGAAGGACACTTGAGCAGCCTCCTGTGAGAAAGAGCTGCCTGAGTTAACACCAGGAGGCCCTCTGAGGAGTAACTGCATGCTGGCAGGGTGGGCAAAGGGACAGAGGGTGTTGAGAAAAGAAGTCCAGGTGCGCCCACCACCTGATGTACCTGCGGTCTCCCCAGACTCCCCACACATCAGCCAAATACTTCCAGAAGTCAAATCCAACCCTCCCGAGTCAAGGGGCTCTGTAAAGCTTTCAAAAATACAGACATCTGAGTACCGCCAGTCCCATTGAAATAATATGTATTTTGAAATCATTTTTTGGAGGGGCTCTTACAGCTCATCACAATCCATCCATCCATTGTGTCAAGCACATGTACATATGTTGCCATTATCATTTTCAAAACATTTTCCACTCATCGCCCCCCCTTCTCATGAACCCTTAATCATTTATAAATTATTGTTTTTTTATGTCTTACATGATCGCTGTCTCCCCTTATCCACTTTTCTGTTGTTTGTTCCACTGGGAGGAGGTTATATGTCGATCCTTGTGATCGGTTTCCCTTTTCTCCCTGCACTTCCCATCCTGGTATCGCTACTCTCATTATTGTTCCTGAGGGGTTTATCTGTCCTGGATTCTCTGTGCTTTGAGCTCTTATCTGTACCTGTGTATGTACTCTGATCTGGAATATCTTAAGGGTCTGAAGTAGCAGCCTCAGCTTTTCCAGGAAACTTGTTAGAAATGCAGATTTTCAGCCCCACCCTATGCCTACTGAGTCAGGCTGTCAGGAGCGGCCAGAGTCCTAGGTTCTAACAAGCCCTTGAGAGATTTTGATGCACGTAAAGGAGGGATTTTGATGCAACCTGAGGTGCTTTGGTTCAGGATTACTATATCAAAGCTTCTCCCCCCGCAACCCCCAGGAAGCCCAGTGTTAAGCTACATTTTCTAACACACCCTATCTAACACACTCATGCACAACTCAGTAAACAATGATCAGAAAGCACCAGCTCTCCTCCTTCACCGTGCCTGCTGTTTCCCTGCCTTGAACTTTTATCCACCCACTCACATGACTTCCCTCAAGCCTTCCCTTTGAGCTTAGTTGCACCTGCAGCCAGAAGTCTTTTATGCTTCTCTTGAAAGATTGAAGAAAGAGAAGGCTGTGTGTTCCTTTGTTGCCGTGGTGTTACTGGCTATTGAAACCATTTGCCCTTCTTCTGGAGTGGAAGACAAACCTGCTGTCTCTGCTGCCCTTGACCCCAGGGCAGGAGCCCGGCCTTTATCTCTGAAAACAGTAGATCCTTCACAAATACTCTCAATGAATGCCGATACCTCTCCCACAAAGCAACAGTCAAGGGATGGGAAGGAAAAATACAGGGGGGAAAATGTGTCAGTCTGCATATGCAGTGTTTGCCTTCCTACACCAGTTTCATAGTTTTCTGAAGCTCACTAGAGAAGTAGGGTGTGTTGTGAAGAAAGCAAGTCGCTGTTGAAAGTATTTGGGGTTGAGCATCCGAAACTCTAGGTTCCAGGGCCAGGGGCAGTGGTGCTTAACTTCGAAAGCCCTTGGTGTATGGAAGGCTGCACGCCCTAGTTGGTGTTAGGTGCCACGGAGTTGATTCTGACTCACGACGACCCCATGCCCAACAGAACACAGCACTGCATGCTACTGCACCATCCTCCCAATCGTTCCTATACTTGAGCCCATTGCTGTAGCCACTGTGCCAATCCATCTCCTTGAGGGCCTGCTCCCTTGTCCCTGCCCCTCTACTTCACCAAGCATGATGGCATAGCTTCCAGCCTCCCAACAACACTCCAGCCACCGCAGTATGACAAAGTGACAGACAGGTCATGGTGCACTGGATAGTGGGAGCTCTCATTCGATTTTGAATCTTGACATACGTTCAGAAGCTTTTGCGTCCGTCCGTTGTTACTTTCCCCAAGGCTTGCTGGTCATCCCATTGGCAAGGTAGCTAAGCTTGCACAAGTCCACGGCTAGCTCAGAGGAGGAGTATGGTTGAAAGCAAACGCAGAGTTTTCAGAAAGATGCTCACATAGAGTTAGGGAATTTGCCTGGGCATTTACTGAGTGTAGCCAATCAGACCATGTCATCTGATTTAACTAAAAGGACGGAGTCCTGGTGACTAGGACTCAGGGTTGCTTGGTCATGAGTCTCCCTGACTACCATGCAGCCAGGTAATCAAAACTGCAGAACCATTCCTGTAACTTTTCTAACGAATGCCAACCATCTTTTTTTTACCCCCTCGTCTATTTTAAGACCCACCTGCCATAGAGAGGGGTTAGCCTGCCACCAATCTGAATCTTGTGCTGATTTCCTTTGTTCTGTATACTATACATTGGAAACAATGGCTGTAATACAGTCAATTTCATTGGTCTCTGCACCATGTACATGCTAATGGTTTCTCTTATCTGAAACGATTGTTTTTGTTTTGTCTGTCCTGTTTAAGGTTTAGTATGAGTCTCTGTAGAACATGTTTGAATGTGAGGGCTTTTAACTCTATCACATAATATGCGAGAGCTTTAAAAAGTTTTTGAAAATAATTGAATTAAAGACAATTTTTCCACTAAGCCTTTAAAACTCCTTTGTAGGTTTACCTAATAGCTACATGATATTTGAAAGATATTTTTATTTTTCTGGCCCTTGAATTCCTTAGTTATAATTTAAGGAATAATAATTTCTATAGCCATGTCACAAAATTGTTGTGAGGATAAATGAAAGGACAGATATTATTGCTGTTATGGGGAAATAATTTCACATCTAAAGATAATAGACAAATGAAGATTTTTCTATTTATAGAGGAGCGGTCTAATCTCCTTGAAGATTAACTGGCTTGTTTTGTTACTTTATACAGTTTCTATGGAAACGAGCACTCAAAGATCGGTTTAAGTATGTTCGAAGGCCCATCGAAGATGATGAGCAAGTGATGAGGAATAAGTGTAAATTTGGACACCGAAGAGGTCAGACACGGAAATCTCTTGCTGATCTAAGATGTGATGAATTTCGTATTGTCCAGATAAAAGTAAGCTTGTATCTTTAAATTTCTGGCAACTTATTGATCGTTTAATTGATCAATAAGATCATTTAAACATTATTAAGACAAAAAAATTATTATTTTAAAATGTGAAGTATTAGGGTCCCCCCATCCAAAATGGAAAAAAAGCTCTGCTGGGCGGAACTTTTGTGGTACACATTCCCCTCCCCCCTTGCTAGGCAAGCATCAAGCCACTCGCTCTGAGTCAGTGCACCTCGTTTTTGTGATGGCCAATTGAAGAGAACAGCATATGGCTGTGAAATTTTGGTTCCTGCCTGGGAAAAATGCCACATAATCTTGTGATGTTGAACACAGCTTATAAGGAGAAACTCAAGTGTACGAGTGGTTTTCTTGTTTCAAAGAGGTGAATTATTGATTGATGACAAACCTCGTTCTGGACATCCATCAACTTCCCGAATGGACGAAAATGTTGACAAAATGCGTGCACTGTGTGTGAAAACCGACTACAAACCATTGAGGAGCTGGGGACGTTATCTGGGCTATCGTGGAGCTTGGTTCAGTGAACTTTAAAGGAAGATTTGGGGATGAGAAGGGTCACTTCAAAATGTGTGCCTCAGTTCTGACTGACCAGGAAAAAGAGCACTGAGTGGAAACATGCTGCTGTGCTTTGAAAGAACAGCTCCTGAGCAACCCAGACCCCCCACCCCCACTCCAAGATCATTATTGGTGACCCAGAAAGCCTAATCAAGGTGACCTAATCAAGCCCATGGAAGATGCCATTGTCACCGTCACCTCACCCCCATCTAAGCTCGTCAAGTGAAATTGTGATCAAGACAACGCTCATTTGTTTTTTTCACTTTTTAAATGAATTAATTATTTTACTGGGAGCTCTTACAAATGTCATACCATTATATAATTCAAATAGTTCAAGCATAATTGTACAATTGCTACTACAATCCGTTTCAAAACATTTTCTTTCTTGAACTCTTTGATATCAGCTCCCTCTTTTTTTTGATATGAGGGGAATAGTGCATTTGGTGTTCGTTCCACCAGGTCAGACTGTTAATCAAGCTTTCCGTTTGGAGGTTCTGAAAAGATTGCCTAACAGTGTGCGACAAAAAAGGCCTGCTTTGTGGCAGACGGGGGACTGGTTTTGTCACCACGACAATGCACCTGGTCACGCAGCCATCTCAGTGCGCCCAAATTTTGGCAAAACACAGCATGCCTCTACTGCCCCATGCACCTGACTCACCACCTCGCTCCATGAGACTTCTTTTTGTTTCTGCGAATGCACAGGGACATGAAAGGACAGCAGTTTGCTACCAGGGCTGCTTACTAGTCTCCTCTCACTGCCATCCAGTGGATTTCAGCCCACATGGACTCTTGATAGGGTGTCTGACAGCAGGAATCTTTATTGGAGCAGAGTCTCATCTTGTGGTTAGCTATTCACCCCTTACCCAACAGCCCCTTGTAGTCAGATCGAACTAGGACGCAAGAGCCTTTGCTACAGAAAGAACAGAACTTGAAGGTACAGGAAGAACAGAGCCATGATCTATTGTTTAAGGAGCAACAGAATTTAGTTCTGAAGCTCCTGCCAGCTGGGGCAAAAAAAGACTATAGAGTAGTCAACGTTCTCATATGAAGAGGCATTCCCCCCACCCTGGCATTCATATCCAATTGGTAAGGATCTTGTTTTTTTTCTTCTCACCAATGACACAGGTAAGTGTTGACCCCTTTAAGACCTGATTATGAACCAATACTCTGTAAAGCCAAAAGCTTTAAATTGTAAGAAACTGTTGACAGAATATTACAGAAAAGAAATCGCATCTGTAGTAAGTGTCCTCTTGGGTGGTTGAGCATATCTTAAAGCACTAACAAGGATACCAGTGAAATCCATTAAATATACACTTTATCTCACTCAGACTAATTGCCTGAATTATTCTCAATCTTCATTTTTAATTTCTTCTTAGAGCTTCTTTTTATTATCTCAAAGACTTCTGAAATTTAGAGATATTTATATTAAGATGACTTTAATATCTTTCACATTTTAAAAATGTCCTGAGCGGAACCTAATTCTTCCACTATGAAATAAAAAAAAGTATTTCTACTTTCTACATACTGCAGAGGTGGAAAATGCAATGGTAGACAAGAAGAAGGAATTTTATCATTCACTCAATGGTGGCAAATTGCCATTGAATGGCAATTCAGATTTGCTAAACTTGGAAGTGGTGGAGCCTCGGTGGCTTAGTGGTTACTCACTGGGCTGCTAAGCACTAAGTCAGCAGTTCCAACCCAACAGCCGCTGTGAGGGAGAAAGCCTGGGCTTTCTACTCCCGTAAAGAGTTAGTCTTAGAAACCCTCCGGGGCAATTCTGCCCCGTGTTTACATGGTCTCTATGAGTCAGAATTACCTAGATGGCAGTGAGAATCTTGGAGGGAGATCTTGGGAAGAGGGAAGAGAAAAGATTTCAAGTTATGTTTTTATTGTTTTTAATTTAGTAACTGGAAGCTTGTTTTTCTTTGGACACCAAAGTGCTCAGAGTTGGAGTCACTGCATTTCGCTCCACTCATTTTACCACTTCCTTCCTTTCCACGTGCCAGGAGCTATCGAATCCTGGAAGGCAGGTTTCAGGGAGTCTCGTAAGTACACAGGAACCCTAGTATCAGTATTGGTCAAGGATCTGCCAACGACAAGGTCAGGGGTTCAAAACCAACCATTGACTTCTTGGGAGAGAAAGCCTTGTGTTCTGCAACACCAACAAAAACGTGGCTCTCTAGATGGATTCTGTGACCCCATGCAATGGGGCAAAACTGCCCCCGCGGGGTTCAGGGGCTGTCATCTCTAGGATAGCGAACGGCCACATCTTCTCTGCAGAGCAGCCGGTGGGCTCAGCATCCGCTCTCCCTGTTTGCGATCAAGCGCTTCACCACTGCGCCTCCAGCATTCCTTCTGGGAAAACATCAGCAGTCCAGGAAACCCTCCAGAGCTGGTCACGCTGCTGTGAATTGGGATGAACTCAGCCACACAGGACACTAGTAAGTCTGCTGCCAGTGACAGGCAGGCTGTGTTTGCATTGACCAGTAGAAGAAAGCAGAGGTCCCCGGCAGCATTGTTTTGCCCACAGGCAGCCGAACCCCAGAGGGGCTAGACATTTTTTTCATACTATTCTGAGCAACCTGAAGTTTATCAAATAAACAATCATCCAACCGCCAGATAATAAATTACTAATAAATTCTAAAATTATTTCCTCTCTTTGAAATCATTTTCTTTTCTTACTTCTTGGATATATATACATATATGTGTATATATGTGTACATGTGTATATGTATATATGGCTTACAGTAGTTTTATGTGTTGGCTTTCTTTGGCTTGAAAAGAAAATGAAATGGAGAGTTGAATGCTAAGAGTATTTACTAAGCTCTTGTGGCTTTCTCATGAGGCATTTTCTGTTTGTTTCTTAGTGTACCAGCACATAATTAATTGTATAAATACTAATCATTTTTATAGCCTTTCCCCAAGATGTTTTTCTCAGGGTGCAAAACTGAACTTGACAGCAAATGTTGGGGGGGGGGATGTTGACAGTTAATTGCATTCTGAGTATAATGCAATTACTGTCGTCAGCAGGTGGCACATTTACTAATACTGAGAAGAATGACAAATCAGCTGTGCACTTGGAAACATGGCACAGACTCCCAGGGGTGACAATGTTCATGGTTGATTGACTGAGACAAATGCCTGAACGCTACGCCCAAGGGCCATCCAAGCTACACAGGAGAAACTGCATTTTCAAGATCAATTTAATGACATGAGAGTTAAAAAACAAGGAAGGGCTGGAATTTGGTAAAAGAAAGTCCTAGCATGCTAACCAGTAGATATAGAATACAGACCACATATGTGATTTTAAATCTTTCAGTAGCCATAATGAAAGAAAAGAGGCAGGATTATTTAGTATTAATTATATATTTCATCTGTCCCACCTATGCAGACTAATACCAGTTCAGCATGCTATCTTTATAAAAAGTATTAATGAGATACGTGATATATTTTCATATTAAATAGTTGAAATTTAGTTTGTATTTGGCACTACAGCACAACCACATTTCAAGTGCTCAGTAGTCATGTGTGGCTCCCGGACAACTCAGATGCGATGTCCTGAGAGGAAGTGGAGCCCTTATAGCTAAAAGGGCTCAGCGTGCTCCTCCCTAGGGTTTCCGAGTTGGCACATCGTCACTGGCAGCTCGTCTCTCTCCCTGGAGCCGCTGGTGGGTTCCAACCGCTCACTTTGTACAACCCACAGTGCCACCAGGGCTTGGTTCAGACGCTCTCCTCCCATCTCTCTGAGTAGTCCTTGGCCGGGAGCGATCTCTTTCCTGCGGTGTTGCTTTTTCCTTTGGTAACCCCTCTATCATGGTCTCCTACTCCCTTTGCATACTGGGGCGGACATTACACAGCTGCTGCTCTGGACAAGTCAGAGTACACTCATCCAGCCATCTGCTAAGAGAACTAACCCAGGCAGCAAACCTCACCCTTGCTGGTGGAGTTTGGGTTTGAGAGGAAACCACGTCATGTGTAAACCAAACACGTGCATTTCATCTGAGCGCATTCTGATTCCTGGTGCTGCTGTGTGGGACACAGTGTAACTGAGATCTGTAGGGTCCTTGGCTGCGATGTTAAGGGAAGCATTTGAAGAGGGCCTTTCTTCGGTGCTGCCACTATACAATGGACTTGGAGCTGGGCTTCTGACTTCCTCTGACTCATGAGGGGAGGCAGCACATCACCGTAGTATCAGCCTTTGGAGATTCCTATATGAGGCAGAGGTCAGACATGATTCCACTCTTTAACTTTCATGACTAAGTCTGGCACGAGGAGTCCCTTCTATGGCACCCTCTTTTCTGCTGGGGTCTGTAATTGATTGTAACGGTGACACAGAACGCATAGGCCATACTCACCAGTATGAGCTGTAGTAGGGAAGTTAACAAGCTACAATTCAGAATCAGAAATGCTTAGGACACAATTTTTCGGTGTAGTGTAGCCTCTTCTCAGCTGTGCCTACAAGCATGCCCCTTGGCATCTACCTTGCTTGGACTTTTAGCATTGCCTAGAAATGCTCCCAAGGCCCTTTGCCACAAGCCTCCGCCCAAAAGTGCTCAGCTCTAGCTCGATGAGTTAGCAAACTTAGCTCCCCAATTAAGTACCCACTCCACACGTGAGCCTTCTGCCTGAGGACATTCCACTTTACTTGCTCTGTGGACCAGAAAGCCCACTACTTTGTCTCTTGCTCTGGTTCTTAGATCTGTCACAGATGGTTCTCTGCCACGTCTCTCGTGCCACAGCTTTCTCTTCCTACAATGGGGAGCTTCAATGCCTAGGGATCTCCAGGCTTAAAAGACACACTGCATTTCTGATTCTTCTTTCTTAACGGTAGTCAGGTTCCCCTCTGCTATTGCTCTGCGCTACCCAGCAAATTGGCAAAGGGGACCAATGCTCATGTTAGAGTTATAAATTTTACGCTCACAATGAGCTCTGTTAACAACCACAACAGAATCATATAATCCTAACAAGTGACGCCCACCCCCTTCTCGTACCAGACCCATCAGGTAAAGTGTAAATACGTTCAATATGCACGGTCCCATTCATTCGTTTGGAATGAGTTATAAAGCCTATGATTAGTAGCGCCATATCAAGTAATTCACTGCACCTCAGACCACTTCCAACTCTTTTCTAGTTATCAACCCTTCATACTTGAAGAGTTAACTTCCCTCTTCTCCAAGTTACATATTCTACCATTGGGTTTTAGAATCACAACTGAGTCATACTATCTTATCTACATCTTCCCTGAGACCAGCTAAGAGGAAACGAGTAGAGTGCTCCCTCACTCCCATCTCGATGATCTTGCTGTAGGCACACCCATGAAAACTTGTAGCCCAGTCCTTCATGCCTTTATCATCCCCCCACTCTCCCATCTCAGATATCCAGTTTCTAAATTTCTTATCCTGCCAACTCAGTACTATGAGGAGACAAGCATTTTCCTTTATGTAAAGACCTTTCTTTCCAGTATCTAAATACACAAAGTCCAGACAAGGGGCAAGCCATCAAATTGCAGCAGTTCACACAGCACGGTGTCAAGAATTTTTCTTCTTTTGGTCAAATTCTGGTCAATTCAGTCCTTACCATTCAATCTATAGCAAATGGGTACTCTCTTCCCATTCAATCTAGGTGAAATGAAGTCCACACACACCTCTTTACACTTAGACTAACCAGCCTCTTCTCTCTCTGATTCATCCCAAGCCCTCTACTCAATGCCTGTAGGTTCAGGAGCCCACACAACTCCTTAACTTCACATCAGCCAGCCCTTGGCCTCCTCTTTAATCTCTAGCCTCTCGGGAACAAGTGAACAGCGTCCAATGGCACATGTCCAAACCCAAGTCTACCTCATTATTTCTGCCTCTCCTTCCACTTCCATTCAACAAGTGGACCCAGGTGATTGCCACAGTGTGCTTGCTGGTTCCCACAGGCTCTCTTTCACCCTTCAGTCTTTTATAGGCATGAACTTTGTCAGCCTGGCTAGATCCAAATGCAAGTTGCATTTGCATTAAAAATAAAATAAGACTGATCTACCCCCTTTTCTTCAATCTTCACTTCAAATGTAAGTCTTCTGTTTTCTCAGTAGTTCTAGGTGGCTTACAGGTTTTCACCTAAGTCTCCAACTTAGAACAAAAGCCTATTCCCTCCAGGCAATTCCCAACTCCCCATTTAGCAAAATCCAATCAAGAACAGGCTGAAGACTGGCTTCTTGCCTTTCGGAATCATGATACCCAATGTGTGTACAATGAGCACATATACACGTGACTCTTAGAATTTTAACTAGACTACAGGGCATTTTTTAACTGTCCTACACCATCCAATGTACCCAACTGAATGGTGATTATAACTAATCTTTGATAATCTAGCTGCACACGATACCCATTTTTGTCATTTTAATCGGGAAAATATGACAGTGCTACAGTTCTAAAAATGCACTAAAACAGCTGTCAAAACTCAAATCTGTATTATCTCTTGAATATGCAGTGGTCCTTCCTTAAGAAACAGGGCACTACTATTAAACACGAAAATTTTACTAAAAGATTCTACCTCGTTCTCAACATTTTGTCTTCTAAAATTTACATGCATAGATTGAGCACCATTCCTATGAAATTTGCATCTTCTGGGTTATGCATGTTTCCATATAAAATGTATGCAGAAAATAAAGTAACTCTTTTAGATCTGTCAGGAGGACAGCCTATAATTTAATTGTAAGTGGTCAACTATCTAGTTCGTGTGTAGGGATAAAAAGACTGTCCATTTCCCCAACACATTCAAGGCCCAGTATTATTACATATGGTGATGCTTGCCTTGCGAGTGTAATATTATTTTTTAAAAAGCAAATGAGGGGGAGTGAGGGGGATAAAAAAGGAGCTGATACCAAGGGCTCAATAGAAAGTAATTGTCTAGAAAAGAATGATGGCAGCTTATGTACAAATACGCCTGGATTCAGTGGTGTGATAAGCATTTCAGTGCTGGCAGGGGTCCCACATGGCTTCTCCAGCTCCAAGGCTCTGGCTGCCACCAGCCTGTCTCCACGGGGCTTGTCAACGAGGATGTCTCACCGGCGCTGAGTGTGTGTCCAGCCTCCAGTGAGCTATTTATCTCATTCAGGCCTCCAAATGAGATCATCAAGCTCCAACCTGATTGACAGGCTAGACTCCACCCCTTCCCTCTGAATCCTCAAATTGACACCAGATTATGTAACTACCACAACCGTCTTCAGAATGAAAGAGTACCTGTCATTGGATATGAGGTGGCGGTTGGGGGACCACTGCTTAGGAGCATTTTTAGGGTGTGCAATAAGCAAAGCAGACCAGATCAGCTGTCACGAGTCGACCTCAATTCCTCGTGATTCCACAGGTGCCAGAGAGGAACTGTGCAGATGGGCTGTTTTCCATGGCTGACATGATTAGAAGTAGACTGTCAGACCGCTCTTGCAAGGAACCTCTGAGTTGTCTTGGACCACCAAACATGAGTGCATGAGCAGTTGACACAAGCTCGGGATTGTGTCATATAAGCGGGACATACTGACGTCTCGAAAATATTTTGCAGGAAGAAGCCGTTCCTTTATATTCTGAAGTAAATGAACACATTAACTGGTTTCAACGAGAATATGTAAAAACAGAAAAGGACTGGAAAGAGATTGACAACAGGATGAGCCAAACTTTGGAACTGAGAAGAAAATTGATAGACAGCAGAACGCCTCTGAAGGAAATTCTTAAAATGTTTCCTTTCTTAAAGTGCCCCCACCAGGTATTGCTATTCACTGCCAACACTCTCTGATTCAACTGTCCCGACTGCCCGTCCCCCTTTCCTCTCAGAGTGGTGACCAGGCTCTGGCAGGATGGTGGGTGTGAATCTCAGTGGGGTGTGTAAGCCCTCGAGAATTTCAGGAAGCATGTTACTGTGCTGTCATGCACTGCCAATGGAATGACCGTCTTTAGAATGAAAGAGGACCTGTCCTTGGACATGTGGGGGAGGCTGGGGACCACTGCTTAGGAGTATTTGGATAGTGTACAGTGTTTTCCATTTGCATGCACTTAGGTCAGCGGTTCTCAACCTTCCTAATGCCGCAACCCTTTCATACAATTCCTCATGTTGTGGTGACCCCCAACCATAAAATTATTTTCGTTGCTACTTCATCACTGCAGTTTTGTTACTGTTAATGAATCGGTCGACCCCTGTGAAAGGGTCGTTCGACTCCCAAAGGGGTCGCGACCCACAGGTTGAGAACGGCTGACTCAGATTATGGAATTTCTATTTAATGATGGAACTGTTAATATGCTACATTACCTAAAATGTACTTCCTTTCAGAACAATGGTCTTAGAAATACATGAAAGTGACATAGTTAAATCAAAACCCATATCGCAATTTTAGCGCAGTTTTAGGTCTAATATATGATGAAAGATCCTTGAGGGTTTTATGAAGATGAGTTTGGATGCAATTGAAAATAAAAGTTTTCTAGAATCCGCCTGGAAGTTTATTTTTGTCTAACCAGTAGCAAACAGAGCTTTACGTGGATTAACCCTTCAGCAACCTTTCTTTTCCTCTTTGGGTTGTGACAGTTGCCACTGCTAAGCGATGTCCTATTGTGGGGACATCGTGGGGAAAGATGTGTCTGCGTCGTAGACGGGAGTACAGTGGCGCACAGTGGAGGAGGACAGAGTTCGAAGGCAGGAAGGTGTAGGAGAGAAGGGAAAAGGGGACCACACGGAGGAAATGGCATGAGTGACATATTGTGGGGACCGCAATCACTGACGTGAAACAAAATATGTATGATTTTTAAAACATTTCATTGGGGGCTCAGACAATTCTTATCACAATCCATCCATCGATTGTGTCAAGCACATCTGTACGTTTGTTGCCATCATCATTTTCAAAACATTTTCTCTTTACTTGAGCCTTTAGTATTTTTTCCTCTCCCTCCTCCCTCCCTTCCTCATGAACCTTTGATAATTTATGTTATTATTTTTTCATGTCTTACACTGACCAGTATCTCACCTTTACCCGCTTTTCTGTTGTCCATGCACTGGGGAGGGGGTTATAGGTAGATCATTGTGATTAGTTTACCCTTTCTCCCCCCACCCTCCCCTTACCCTCCTGGTATGGCTACTCGCAGTATTGGTCCTGAGTGGTTTCTGTCTTGGATTCCCTGTGTTTCCAGCTTTTATCTGCACATGTATGAATTTTTTAATGGAAAACTGATTGCTTTGTAAACCGTCACCCAATTCACAATAAAATGTTGTGTGTTTTTTAATGCCTTTCATTGGAGACTGTCAAAACGTTGCCTAAAGAATTGTAATGTACTAGAGTTTAGTTCATCTCATAGCTGCATTACCCAAATCGTCCAAAAATGCATAGAGAGGGACTTTGGAAAGTTTGTGGATGAGTGGAACTACAGGAAAATGGAATCATGTTTTTTCATGAACTTTAGGAAGCTTGCTGTATACTCTGCCCAGGCTCTTAAAGAGTTTTTATTCTGTGGTATTAGACTTTAAAAAAAAATCATTTTATTAGGGGCTCATACAACTCTTATCACAATCCATCCATACATCAATTGTGTAAAGCACATTTGTACATTCATTGCCCTCATCATTCTCAAAACATTTGCTCTCCACTTAAGCCCCTGGCATCAGCTCCTCATTTTTTCCCCTCCCTCCCCACTCCCCCTCCTTCATGAGCCCTTGATAGTTTATAAATCATTATTTTTAGACGTTTTTCTATGTCTATTATTTACCTTTCCCATTCTCCTCTGCTTTCTATTCTTTGCCTCTCTCCGTCCTAAGTCTTTGCCACTAGCGCTATTAAAAGTGTCTATCCAGTAAATGTTTTAAATGACTCTTCAAAGTTTATTATAGTCCTGTGGTTATTTGCTTCCTTGCTTTCTTACATTGATTTGTTTGCTTGTGATTTTTCTTCTTTGATCATCAGATGTTTAGAGAATTCCAACTTCTTACAAGAACAGACATTTATAAGAAAACAAAGCACATTTTGGAATCCTACTCAGAAAATATACTGGCTTCTTATATCGTGGCGGATAACCCAATCACTATTATTTTGCAAGAAAAAATGAAAGAGCACACAGATGAAGACATGCTAAAACGTAAGTACACCTGCTACGGGGGTTATCTGCTCTCAGTCATCTTTATAATTCAGAGTAATTGGAAAAGCTCCTGCGGAGGAAGAAGGGACGTTCAGCGAAGCGTCTGGTGGGAAAGAAAGAAAAATGTCTCACATAAGTGAGGGAGACACAGATTTTAGAAAGCACATTCAATGTTGTAAAATTTTATGAGAGGAATGGGCAACCTGCTCATTTTGTAATACCAATAACACAGGCCAGGAAAATCACTCTGGCTGAAAGGATAGAGTATAGAAGTCTTTATCTCATTGGCGATTCTAATGGCAGAGCATCAAGGCTTTAATGTTTACTAGAAGGGGCTGGTACCTAAGTGCAAAAGAGAAGCACTGATCTAAGGTTGGTCTGCTCTCGTTGGGGGACATCAAGCTGGTCTTTGACCCATCGTGACCCCGTTTGACAGAGTCGAGCTGCTCCCTGGTTTCCTAGGCTGTGATTCTATGGGGCAGGTCCTTTTCAGGAGCAACTCTTTCTCCTGCCGAGCAGCTGGCTGGGCTCGAACTATCAACCTTTTGATTAGCAGCCAAGATCTTCAGCTATGGCACCACCAGGCCTCCCCGTTCACCATAGTGGGTAACAATTAGTTTTCTAAAAGGATCCCACTATTTTAATACTGGCTTTGTTTACAACAGTTGGGAAAAGCTTATTTTACTTGAAATTCTAAACATGTTTGTTTTGACAGATATGAAGATGACGGCCACATGTTTACTCCTACCAGATGTTTTTGGGGATGATCCTAGCCTTTTTGTTGCTGTGAACGAGAAGGTTCGCCATCTGCAAATGCATATTGGTTTGAAATTTTACATTTTCATAACATCACTTATTTATGAGGGCAAGTGGAGAAGTATTGCTACTAGGGTTCCCGTTCATATCGGCATGAGTTTATTCCAAACAAAGCATTTTTTAAACATGCCTCATTCTCTCAGTTTTATGCTTGTCTTACATGTTCTTAGAGTGTTCCCCACCCCCACAAAAAAACCAAAACAGTTCACCCAAAACACTGACTCCGTAATGCATCTGTTGAGCCCAATTAAATTCAAGGCAGAAAGGTCAGTGCAGATGATGGTGATAGTTTTGGGGGGATTCCCAAGCGTAGTATGTTGATAAATTCTCTTGAAAGACACAGGACAATAATGGGGGGTTATTAGGAGCAAGTTTTAAGAAAACAGAAAACTGCATTGGGGATAAAATGGCCTGCATGTTGCACCAAAGACTCTTTTCCCATCCCAAGAATGCACCTGCTCACCGTATTCTTCTAGGTGACTAACAGTTGTCCTAGGAGGGTTTCCTTGAGAAACTTTCTCTCATCTACCCTAGAGCCAAGATCTTGCCCCTTTAGACTTCCTTTTCATTCTCTAAACTCAAGGAACACCTGAAAGGGGCACAATCTGAGTCCTTGGAGAATGCCAAAATTGCCGTGCCGATGTGGTCCAGACTGAAGAGTGCAGAATTCTTTGGGGAAGGATAAGAGACGGGCACGTCACCTTCAGAAGAGTCCAGATTCGGGAACTGTCCAGAAACACCAGCTTCATATTTTTCGACTTGACCTTTGTGAAAGTTGGGTGATTTTTGTCTTCAAAATGACAGACTGTTGGAAGTCTGTCTTGTCACATATTCAAAGCAACGAAGTTGTAAAATACTCTCATTCACTGTGATAATCATGGTTGCGTTCAGCCGTTTTCTCATTTAGCTCTTGCTCATATGATTGGACAGTGACTCCATTTTTGTTTATTTCAGGTACAGGTGTCGACACCCGTGTTAGAAGTCAGGAACCCCTTCGACATCAGCGACTGTGAATATTCTTTGTATTTAGAAAAAGAGAGGCTCACGAAGGTGGATGACTGTGTCGTGGCCTTGGCTGCCCTCGTGGCGGCCTTTCATGTGTTTGGGATTAAGTGTCCACAAGGACTGTGCCAAACCCTTCGATTCCTGAAGACACAGATTTTAGATATGCACCATCCCCACTTTCCCTCTTAACAGAACAGGAAAGGATTTCTCACCCATTAATAGCATGCAAAATGTTCTATTAGGATTATCTCTGGGCCTGCTGAAACGTTATTTTTAAAACTTGATTTATGGTGGTAGGTGTAGGTTATTGGAAAACCACCTTGAATCATACAGGTTCGTGAACGTCCAACGCCTTTATCATTACTTTGAGGCATTTTTTTGTGAAATTCTGTAATAAACTGGCTTAAGGAATCATTTACAGTTTCTGAGTTCTGTGAATTCCCAGGTCAAAGTCATCCTTCTGGGCGGCATTACTTAAGACACTATCTTTCAGATTGACTCGGAGCCTTTGGGTTGGGACATGACCAGAAATAGTGACTGTCTAGGAGTTGCAGGCCTGGCATCTGCTCCTCTGGTTGAAATGTTGCTGGAAAGGTTTTAGCGTGACCATTTTCAGAAAGGGTATAGAGTCCGGTTCTCCCTTCCTCTTCATGACAGACATTTCAGGTTCACTCATGCATATTGAGAACAAGGGTTGCTTCATTCTCAGTCTCCTAATTGCAAGCCCATTTTCCTGGCCCATTTTCTCACCACTTCCCCGCCTTTGAAATGCAGCAACTGTCTGGTACTCCTCTCCCTACACGGCTTCTGGGTCCCCCTCGTCTTTGCAGCGTTAATGTCTGCCTCGTGTGCTGGGCTCAAGCAGGTGGACATGTTTGGGTCCTGGTTGAATTTGCTGACTTTGCAGCTATTTCTGCTTGGGAACCATTGAGCAAAACCAACTGCAAGAGTGTCTTCATGACTATTAGTGTCACCTGCTGCACACACGACGTTTCAATGGCACACAGCACCTGGTCTGCTGACCGAGTTCCAAATTCAATACTTGGAAAAAGGATCTTTTTTTTTTTAAAACATTTTATTAGGGGCTCATACAACTGTTATCGCAATCCATACACACATCAATTGTGTAAAGCGCATTTGTACATCATTCTCAAAACATTTTCTCTCCACTTAAACTCCCGACACTAGGGCCTCATTTTTCCCCTCCCTCCCCGCTCCCCCCTCCCTCATGAGCCCTTGATAGTTTATCAATTGGTATTTTGTCATATCTTGCCCTGTCTGACGTCTCCCTTCACCCACTTTTCAGTTGTCCATCCCCCAGGGAGGAGGTCACATATAGTTCCCTGTAATCGGTTCCCTCTTTCCTACCCAATCTCCCTCTACCCTCCCTGTTTCGCCACTCACACCACTGGTCCTGTAGGGCTCATCCGCCCTGGATTCCCTGGATTTTCAGTTCCTATCTGTACCAGTGTACCTCCTCTGGTCTAGCCAGACTTGCAAGGTCGAATTCGAGTCATGGTAGTGGGAGCGGGGAGGAAGCATTTAGGAACTAGAGGAAAGTTGTATTTCTCATCGTTGTTACATCGCATCCTGACTGGCTCATCTCCTCCCCGAGACCCCTCTGTAAGGGGATCTCCAGTGGCCTACTAATGGGCTTTGGGTCTCCACTCTGCACTCCCATTATTCACTATGGTAAGATTTTTTGTTCTGATGATGCCTTATACCTGATCCCGACACCTCATGGTTGCATAGGCTGGTGTGCTTCTTCCATGTGGGCTTTGTTGCTTCTGAGCTTGATGGCCGCTTGATTACCTTCAAGCCTGGAAAAAGGATCTTGTTTGCAATCTGGGGACTGCTTGTACTGCCCTGGCTCTTGGCTTGCCCCGGGGTCAAGAGCTTGGCATTTTCAGGGTAGGCCTTCCTAGACCCGCTCTTCCGCTTCTCCTAAGAATCTAACAATGGCTGCCTCACTCCGCCGGCAGTCCTACAAGCCTCACTGCCACGCTCTTTTCTATTTCACAAGGAAAAGGTACCCTTGATGCGATCAAAACAGAAATGACATTGCTCAGTTTTGAAAGTGAGGCCTGCTTGGAGACTACAGAGAAATTTAAGTGTATTAATATCTGCATCACAGGCAGTAAGCATTACCTGGGTTATTTCACTACTTTAAATAGTGTTAAGCAAGGTGTTCATGTAAATTATTTAAAAATATTTTTACACTGAACATCTCAGGAGACAGTGCAAATGGCATATTACATCACGGAGATAACTACCACGTGCTAGATGACACCTTTTCCTTCTCTAAGGGCTGCTCAGTCATTACCATGTGCAAGCTGACAGAGCTGCCTACCTGAGCAATGTGTACAGCAGTGAGTAACAAGTCAGCCTATGTGACTTTCTCATAAAGTAGGCCTGCTCCAGCTCAGCCTTCCGCTGGCTTTGAGGACTGTACCTAATAAACGTTTGCTCCTTCAAATTACCTCCCCTGCCTTGAAAGGGTCATCATTTGGAGCTCTTCAGAAAACCGAGTTTTCCATGTTCTTCCGGCTTACTCTCCTTACCAAAGACACCATCTCTGTAGCTGAAGTTGAGTGGCACTCCTTCTTTGGGGAACTGGGCCAGAGGGCAGAGCTGTCAAGAGACTGCAGTGAAGTCTGGCTGCAACACAGACCTCCACTGACCACAAGGGCACATCCAGGAATGCTTTGTCCCTTCAACAGAGTAGCTGCTGCACGTGCCCAACCCGCTCTTGCCACTCGGTAACCAGTACAACTGCTTGATTAGCACCGCCTTCCTTTGGAGGTGGTGGATTTGTATAAGGGAGACATCGTAAAATGGTAATTCCACCTACAGTCAGGTTTCATCGGCGTGGACGGTGCTTTGTATTTTCAATGGTCATAGAGGGGGCAAGATATCAAGAATAGTCACCAACCCTCAAGGCAGCCTCTGTCATTACAATGACAAGGGTTTCTTTCAGAGATGGAGTGATAACCTTGCTTTAAGGGTCGTTCAAATGCTAGGCTAATCCAAGATGCTCAATGCCATGGCTCAAGAGTTAACAACATGGTACTCAGAATGAGTGTTTTTACTAAGATTTAAAAAATGCCTTTCATTATAAGGTGAGTCTTTCACTATAATTATCGTATACGCTAAACTACAAAAAAAAAAAAAAATCCCTGATGGGCATGAATCCTACTTGACCTAAAATACACTTTTTGAAACTGTTTGTCACTCATCATACCATCTGGCACATAGTTTGACAAACGGTCCCAAATCCGACAGATGCATGGCAGAGGAGCCATTGAATAACCATATGTTCGGCGCATCATTCCTGCTCTTGTTCTGCCCCTCCTTTATGACAAGCTTTCTTAAGAATCATACAGAAGTTAAAAAAAAAGAGTCGTCTCCAATTAATATTTTATTTCATTCATATCAGATATAACAAGTGCAACTTGAATATACAAATTCTGAACAAAAAGGTAAAAAAAAGGAAACAACATCAACAAAAACTCATTAACAGATTCATGCAAAGAACTGAACGGGACATGGCAGATGTCACTGACCCTGTTTTACCCGGAGTTATGTCAATGCAAAGGACCTTCCAACAGGAATGCAGAACGTGGGGATATCGAAGGAGTTCTACATCAGAAGAACTGATACCAACTTGAGAGAGGTGGAATTTCCCCAAAATTCTGTAAGCATGCTACAAACTTATTTTCTTTCTTTTAATAAATAGTCCTTGGATAAATTTCCAATCTTAAGATTGGAAACTGCACCAAAAGGCTAATGAAGTTATTTACCTTTTTCCTTGCAAATGCAATCTTACAAACAAAAACAACAAACAACACTACCAGCTATCAGTTTATACGTAATTGAGGGTTCTCATGTAAAGTGCATCTGTACGCTTATAAATAGAGGCAAAGTGTTCTACAGAAAAAGGAATCCTTCGACACAGAGGTACTTGAATGATTGCTTTGGGAAAGTGCCTCCCTGACCTGTGAGCAGGTGGAACTGTTGTCCACTGGTGTTCCTCCCTCACACCTTGCCTTTTGAGTAAAACCTATACACTCTACACTTTCTCTTTACCCAACCCTTAAGAAACCCGTTGGGTCTGGAGGACATGGTAAGATCCGAGAGAGCTTTTGAGAACTCGTCAAGACTAGATTGAGCCCTTCCTCTCTGCAAAGCACCACAGTTACGTCGTCAGCAACAGTCAGAGAGAGGCTCCAGACGATCTCACACTCAGTTCACGATCCTGAAACATGGTTCCCCGACTGTCCACTGTATACTCCTCCGACACCATCTGACTCGTGTAAACATACAAGGCACCCCGATGTTTGGGACTGATGCCATTCAAAAGACATTACCTAATTATGCTTATATATTTTTATTTTTCAATTTCATTCTTTTATGTACACTTTTTTGGTAATTATAGTAAAGATGCTGGTGAAAAAGTAATTTGCTTAACCATTTCATGATTCGTGCAAAAGTAAGAACACTGATGGAAAGAAGAGTACTTTTTTACAATGATGCAGCTCCAACGAATTATTACAAGCAGTTAGGCAATATCATGACTTGCAAAGTGATACGTAGCATAAGGTTGCAATTCAAAATATGGCACACAATTAACAGTACAGATAAAAGTCCCAACTGGCTAAACTTAGCCAGGTTTTGACTAATTTGGTTTAAGTTGAATTTTGATTGTAAAAAAGGTTCCTGCAAGTATTGAAAAAAGAAACAGTGTACATGAAAGAGGATTCAACAATGTTTACAAAATGCCAGAAGTTCTTATTCTGCCCCACTTTATCCATAAATAATTAATGAAGGTTCCCCTCCCCCCACCCTCCAGCGTCCAAAAGATTTACAAAGATCAATTTAGCTCAGTGAACAGAACCAAAAAGATGACTGTTGTTAAGACAGCACTTGCTTAAAAGCTCAAGCGTTTTCAGAAAAAATCATATATTGTCTCTTGAGAAATATAAATAACTGACAGCCTTGCTCTTTTGAGTTTGGGAGATTTCCCACTAAGAGTTGGAGCTGTCCTTGTGCTTTGAATGAAACACGAGCTTTGAAGCAGAAAGCGGATGGATACAGGACTCACTGTCTTCAAAGTTCATTGTAAGAATTCTTTTCTGCAGCTTTGAACATCAGGATAGAATTGAAAATTTTGAGAGCAGGGCCCAGTTTAATGCTCATAATTTTGACAATGTCCGTTTGAGTCATAAGCAGAAATGCTTCTCCATCAATTTGCTAAAATGGAAGGAAAACAGAAGAAGTTGGATTAATCTGGCGTGGTTCTAGGAGAAATATTCCCAGTTAAATTATCAGCATTTTCCTGCAAAGTAACACTAACAAGTCACATACACAGGTGCACAGGTGGAACTTTCCCTGACCCACTGACCTTTCTTCCTTAGACCTGCACACCTGTACACATCCCAGTGTGAACTGGGAATCATGTCAAACCCATTCCTTTGAAATCTTCCCTGGGAAAATGAAAAGTGCCCATATCTTCCAGGTACTAAGTCAAAACGGCTGCACAATATGGAAGAATCCTGGGTGCCCCAAACCCAGTTCATATCATGGTAGGTTCAGATATTTGAGGTTAGATGCACCAGATGTTTGCGGGCATGAGGAATTTAGGCGAACATATCATCCATATTGTACTTCTAATTTTGGAGATAATTTGCTTTGTTTTCATTTGCATGTGCAATACAGCTGATTGATAAAAGAAGGCTAGACAGACAGATCTTTGCACATTTTACTCAAACTGATGTACAGTGTAGCTGAATGGACAGTCAGTCTGACAGACATCTTCCAAGTCATTAATGAGAATGTCAACATTTGTGAACTCACTATAAAGACTGACTAATTACCAGCTTGGCCCTACTTTTATGAAAATTTACAACAGTCTTCTGATTGCATGTACGAGTTTCCCCCCCTGGCAGATTCATGCAACAACTCGTTAACATTTACTGTCTTCAGATAACTTTCAAGGAAGGGTCTGTGCATGCAGCAGGGGGTAACACACACACACACACACACAAATCTCTTAGTGAAATTTACATCCTAGTAGTGGGAGACATTACTGGTAATATAAGGGACTTCAAAACATGGTGGAAAATCTTTGGATTCTGTTTCCACAAACTTTTTGGTCTCTCCTCATATTCAGCAAGCAAATTCATTACTAAGTTAGAAGGTGATTAGTATGATGGGAAAAAATGCAACCACACAACGTGTTGCGGCAGGGGCACGAATGGTAGCAGGTGGTGATTTAAAGTGACGTGATCAGAGTGGAAGTCCTTAAGAAAGTGGTCTGTGAGCAGAAGGGGTGAGCTATGTGAATATGTGGCGAAGGAGAGGGGTGAGCTGGGAGGCCGGCAAATCTGAGGAACTGCGGGAGGGCAGTGTGGCTGGAGCAACATGAGGAAGGGGCGGAACAGAAAAAGGTGAGAAGGTGAGAGAGCAGGAAGTGTTCAACCGTATCCGGTTGGGATAAAGAGATACTAGGAGGATACGGAGAGATGAGTGACATATTTCACTTATGTTTTATCTGGATCACTGGACTGTACTGGGAGCAAACAAGCAGGGAGTCTCAAACACCACACATGTGCTGTAGGAAAAAACCTTCAGGACAAGTGGGAGCTGATTGTGGCGTGGGCCCCACTGGCAGCAGTTAAAGTGAAGAAATATAGTCACAGTCACCCCATCTTAAAAAAGCCACCCAAGAGGACCTCAGACAGATTAGCTGTGGATTGGGAGACGGAATAATAAAAAGGAAATCCATGAATATCCCATGCTAATTAGTGGGCTTGAAACTCCAACCTTTCAGTTGGCAACCCAAAGCTTAAACCACTGTGCCGTCAGAGCTCCTAGAAGAGTTCAATTAGATTTGATTTCTGTTTCACCTCCAGGACTCAAAACTGATTACAGGTGGTTTGTGAAGTATGTGAGAGCAAAGGTCATATTATCTTTGACTCATCATCCTTCATATGAGAACATGACATACAGAGTAAGCACCCACACGGCAGGCATACAACAATCAAAATGGGGGAATGAAAGAATATCTGAATGACATGTTACAGTGACATTCCTCACGAGGACTGACTATTCGGCTAAGAATGTGTGGTGCCTGAGGACTATCTCTGAAGATGACAAGCTATGATGAAAAAATGATCCAAGGAAATAATAGCATTTGAATTTGAATCTTAATTAAATCAAATAGTAATGTGACTCTATCTGAACTATCTCTATATTAACAGTACTAAAATGAGAATTTGTAAAATAGATTTAATTTTATTTTCAAAAGTGTTGTCAGTTTTACAAAGATAATGGCCACATTATTGAAAGATAATGTTGTTTCAAAGGAAGAACCTCCTCTGTGTGTCTGAGTCCATTCAGGAGTGAGACATTTAAACACAGTGGCTATAAAGGCACTGAGGAGCTAGGAGAAGAGACGCAAAGTGGAACTACTGCCAGTCAACCAGTAACTAAAAAATTAAAGCGTTTCTGATATAGGAATTCAATCAAAAAGGGTGTGAAATGTCAACTTCATGTGCACCTGAAGAGGTACACACTGAAAGGACCGATGGCATCTCACGGCAGGGACTACCAGTTGTCCCTCCACGCCTGCTAGCTCAATAGAAAGCCTTCTGCTCTAACAGCCAAGGGTTACACGGGCGGTAAACCACGTGTGGACGCCTAGACCTGTAGCTAGCAGATGTTGGGGAAGGTCTATGGGGAAAAGAGACTCTTGATGAACTCCAACATCACTCCCAGGATAGTTAGAAGTTGAATTCCTTTTTCATGCTAATGCTTAATATAAGCGACATGGTTATGAATCATGCCTTCTACAGAAATGAAGGTGGAAGAAAACAGTAAAATAATCTTTCAAGAGCAGTTTGTAATGAACATCAGTGATGAGAATCCTGAAACTCAAAATAGATCAGATATAAATGGGATTTTTTAAAAAAGCAACAATGGTAACGCTATTTATTTTAAGTACCATATTGAGTCTGGGGCCAACAAGATCGGCAAACAAAATCATGAGTGATTTCACTCTCCTAACAAAATTAGCAGTCCTGCTAAAAATTTCCTAAAAGTAATAGCATCATATTTCTTTCTTTGCTTTCCTTTTGTGCTGTTCACTGTATAAATGCTATGTAATACATAAATGCTATATAAAATTACTATATTTTGATTTTAAAGGCAGTGCATGCTATGGCTACAGGGCATCATAAAATAGTACTTAGACGAATTTTCTTACTGCCTCCTTTTATTCAAAGACATTTTTATAAAATGAATTAGGGCTACTTGGTCGACATATAAATGCCAGTTTGTTAATTTCAACATAGCCTATCCATCTACGCTGTGCTTCTGCCACAGCAACACATTTCACCAGCTACTGCGCTGCCTGAAAGTAACAGCGATTTAGGAGAACACTTACTTCATCTTTAAATACCTTTCCATGTTCTTCACAGCCAGGGAGTGACTGAATGAATTCTGACACCTAGAAAAAATAGTATCAAAATACCACGTTAAAAAAAGTCGGAATGTTACAGGTTCAAAATATTTAACTGACATGTTTCTACAGAATGACCTCTTCTTTTTCACAATGGAAATAAATAAAAGACTAGCCCCTGCACACATTCCACACGTCCACTCCTTAACCGGCCCTGCAATGCCTGATTCTGACAGAGACAATGAAACGTACCTGCTCTGTGCTCCACTTGGACACCGTACTTGCAGGGATTCCAGCTACTGTTGGAAGCAGTTTGCTCTGCTGCTCCCAGCGCAGGGGCAGGCATGGAATTGGGGACTTAAAGGAAAGAAAGACGGCTGAGCGACGCGGTGCCGGTTGTGCAGGGGGCTCTTCCCGGGTACCTGGTCAAGAGAAAACCGTGGGACATCACTCTCTGCAAAGGAGTGTTACAAACGTCCAGTGTCAGACAGCATCCAATAGAATGAGGTTCGTGTTCTGGCAAAGAGGTAGTTCATACATTGACTCCTTTCAGTAGAAAATTACACCCTCCATGCCTTTAACTAAAGGCCACTATAAAAAACAACTCATATATCCAATTTCCATGTTGGTGATTTCACCCATTATTGAAGGCCTGCTTCTCAATGTTGCCTTTTTAATACTTCAGGGAAGAAATCTGTCTTAGAGGTTTAGTAGCAAGGAAACAAAAAACCCCACCAACCCACCAGAGGAGTACCAACTACTCACCAGTGCAGCTATTGTCATTGCTCTCTGCCAGGCCTGACTTATTCTCTCAATTTCTATTTACTGTTTTGGATTTTTAAGTAGCCAACTTAAATTTTGAAAGAAAAACTATGTAAAAGTTTCAGTGAAATGAAAGTATTGAAAAGCAAACATTTTCTTCATTCTTCACTTATGCAGATCAGTCTTTTAAAATGCCCTTTCTCTCTTAGGTCTTCGGAGCCCAAACACAGTTCTGTTACTGTGTTCTTAGATTTGTGCCCTCGGGGTTCAGCTGAGAGCCTCTCAGAATTATTCCCTAGTATCTGACCGAGCAGCCATCTCTGTGGAAATACTTCTAAGTTCCTCTGACAGGCAACTACCCTCCCACCGTCTCTCCTCAGGTGCACCCTGCTACAGTGATCCCTCCATTCCATCACAGATCTCTGGCTCTATGGTTTACCTAGTTAGTGTTTTGTACCACTAAGGATTTTTTTTTAAGCTGTGCTTTTAAATGAAAGAATAAGATTCACAGAAAAGTGCATTACATCCTAAGTATGCAGCTCAGTGCATTTGCACAATGTGAACATACCCACCTTAAAAGGATATGTCTATTGAAATCTTTGCTCACCCCAAGGCCCAAAAGATCATCTCTTTGGTTTTCCTTTAGAAAACTACATTTTATCTTTTACTCACCTGCAATCCATCTTAAAAATACATTTTTTTTTTTGCATAGGACATGTAAGGATCAATATATCCTTTTCCTTCCCATGGATGTCTAACTGGTTACCCGAAAAGATCATCTTTCACCACCGTGCTGCATTGGCAGTGATCAGACTCCTGTGCTTCCTGTTACTGTCTCTGTCCTCTGCACTAATGCAGATTTTACACGTACTGATAGCTGTGATCAGGTTTGTCATTACACTGGCTACTATTATTATCCTTTTGCACTTTTGTAGGTATTTTGGAATCAGCTTATAAAACAGATGGTGAAATTTAGACTAGAGTTATCGCCGACAATGGATTTTTATTTGGGAGCCTTGGTGGCACATTAGATAAATGTTTGCGACGAACCAAAAGGTCTGAAGTTCGAACCCATCAGTTGTTCCATGGAAGAAAGCTGCTGCGGTAGTTTACAGCCTTGGAAACCCCATGGGGCAGTTCCACTCTGTTCTAAGTAAGGGGTGCTAGGCATCAGGATGAACGAGAGGGGAGCCCAATGGGTTGTACTGATCCATTTAAGAAGTCCTAGTGGTAGCATGGTTGAGCACTTGTTGGTGAGTCAAACCCACCCAGAGGCTCTGTGAAAGACAAAACCTGGTGATCTACTTACTCCCAGAGTTCGCACCCTAGAAAGCCCCAGACAGTTCTACTCTGTTACACGGGGCCAGACAGTTCTACTCTGTTACACGGGGCCAGACAGTTCTACTCTGTTACACGGGGCCCCTGTCTCATGAGTTCAGAAGACTCGGCCCTTAACAACCACTTAGATCAATCTGGTGAGAAATAACTTTTTCAGAATATTCAATCTTCTAATCAATGAATGAGGACTCTCTCTCCAATTATTTGGGCCTTCTTTAATAATTCTTAGTAATGTTTTGTGATTTTCATGTAGAAGGTTGTAGCTATCTTTTATTCAATATATTCCTACATACACGGTGTTTTCTCATGCTATTTTAAGTAGCCGTGTTTTTTAAAAAATAATTCCTATTGTTCTTGAGTCTTAGTCAATTATGGTCTTTCTGGCCAGAATTCCATATGGGATGTATTATAATTCTGGGCTCTAAGCCTGTGGCCCTAGTCACATTTTGGAGGGATAAGAGTCTTACTCTAACTGCCAGCTCAAAGCAGAACTTCCCCGTGAGTTTCCAAGACAACTATTTATGGGTGTACCAAGCCCTATCTTTCTCCCGAGGAGTGGCCGGTGGTTTCTAACTGCTGCACCAGCCTCACAAGTGTGCTTGTGGTTGAGCCCACTGTTGCAGCCACAGTGGCCATCCATCTTCTTGAGGGCCTTCCTCTTTGGCGCTGCCCCTCTATTTGACCAAACACGATGTCCTTCTCCAGGGACTGACCTCCCGGACAACATGTCTGACATATGCGAAGTCTCTCTCCTTCCTTGCCTCTAAGGAGCATTCTGGTGGTACTTCTTCCAAGACAGATCTGTCTTTTCTTTTGGCAGTCCATGGTACTTTCAATATTCTTTGCCAGCACTTTGATCAAGCACATTGAATACGGAGGACCGAAGAATGAATAATGCCTAACTTTCACATGTACATGAAGCAACTGAGAATGGGATCCGGAGTACCTAAGTCCCTACAACACTCCAAAGGTCTTGTACAGCAGATATGCCCACTGTAGCATGTCGCATGATCTCTTGACGGTTGCTTCTATGAAGCCCATGGATTGTGGATGCAATCAAGAGAAAATCCTTGACAACTTCAATTTTTTCTCCATTTATTAGGATGTTACTCAGCAGTCCAACTGTGAGAATCTGCCATTCTTTACACCAGGGGTCCTCAAACTACGCCCCGTGGGCCACATGTGCCCCACTGAGGACATTTATCTGGCCCGCCAGGTGGTTTCCCCCCCCCCTCCCTTTTTTACTTCAAAATAAGATATGTGCAGTGT